GAGCTCTGGTAGCATAGTGCCTAATGCACTTGACCGCTAACCAGAAGGCTGGCAGTTCAAATCCACCAACCACTCCTCAGAAGGAAGCTTGGGTAATCTACTTCTGTAGTGATACCACCTGGGAAACCTAAGGAGGGGTCGCTATGAGTCGGGTCTGACTGCGGCTCATAACAACAACAATGTTTGGCTGGAAGTTGAACTACCAATGAGTTCAGTTTCAGGCTTGAAGGATGTCTAAGGGCCATAGCCTGGAGGGCTCCACCAGCCTCTAGTCTCTACCAGATCAATAAGCCTGTTGAGACTTTTCTTTCTTTCTTTCTTTCTTTTTTTTTCTTTTTTGAGTTTTGTTCCACATTTTTCTCCAACTTTGTACAGGACCTCTTGTTGCAATCCCTTTCAAAGCAGTGAGCAGGCGTAGCCAGTCACCGTCTAGTTCTTCCAGTCTCATGGTTGTGGAGGCTGGGGGACCAGCTACTATTTAAAAGGTTGATTTCTGTCAGTCATTCCCCCAAAACATGTTACTGCACACCCTTGCACCCTCCAAGAACCAGCCTCACAGCCTCTGCCCCTCCTTCACTTTCTTTACTTTTGCCCCTCCCCTCTCCCAGATTTGCATCAGGCAAAAATAATCTAGACAGCATCCTCAACAACAATTTAGATACACTCACAAATCAGCTCCCTCCCACACACCCCTAACTTCCCCCAGTGCTCAGAAGCCCAGGTGGGAGGTCCAAGTCTGGTCCTTGAGACCTCAACTAGCTGCGTGGCCTTAAACAAGTGACCCAACTTCTCTGAGCCTCAGTTTCTCCTGGCTAAAAGAATAATAGATTCTAGGACCACCTGAAGCTCTTTCCAGATGCACACCGGTCTTCTCTGATCCGAACACAAACACGAGATCGCTATTTCTCCCACTCTCCTTCAAGCTTACAGCTTCTCCTAGCCAGCTAGGTAGTCAACTCATCTCTCTTCAAGGAAACTCAGGTCCAGACTGCTGATCGCATTCTCCCCGCTGCTACCACGGTCTCCTTGTGTGTGACCCCTGTGTGTGACCCGCTTTTCCAGGCCACTCTAGCCTGGCCTCGACCAAGGCTGAGAACAGTTTCCCACGTTGCTACATTCCCCGCGCCGGTTCTCCGCGGCCCTCCACTCCCGGGCGCTTTGGGAAGTTCGTGATGGAGCTGGAGTGAGAATGCTCACTGGAGGTCTGGTTGGTAGGACTGCCTCAGTGACAGATACGTGTGTGGGCTGGGTTGGGAAAGAAGCTGTTTTGGGGAGAGGGCGGAAGCGAGGGGAGGTGCCAGAGAGGACGGTGGTGGCCACTGGGTCATACTCTCTCTGTCTCTCTCTGAACCAGTCCCTATCTCCTTTTTTCTCTATATATCTTTCTCTATCTCTCTCTCCCTCTTTATCTTTCTCTCCTGACACATCCTCTCTCGTTCTCAATCTCACCTTCTACTACGGCTTCTGTCTCTCACTTCCCTCTCTTTCTTCTCCAAGCATCCTGCGCGCCCACCGGCTCCTCCCTCGGACTCCCCTTCGCCTGAGAGGACCTTTTCGGGGACCAGCGGGGTTCAGCCTTTCAGCGCAGCCGCCTTCCAGAGCCCGGAGCGGGTAAAGCTGTGGAGGCAGTATGTGGAACACGACGCCGAGCGAGGAGCCGGGGTTCAATTTCACGCTGGCTGATCTGGACTGGAACTCGCCCCTAGCCAACGACTCGCTGGAGGACGACCTGCTGTGGCATTTCCCCGCGCCGCTGCTGGCTGGAGTCACTGCCACCTGCGTGGCGCTCTTCGTGGTGGGCATCGCAGGCAACTTGCTGACCATGCTGGTGGTGTCACGCTTCCGTGAGCTGCGCACCACCACCAACCTCTACCTGTCCAGCATGGCCTTCTCCGACCTACTCATCTTCCTCTGCATGCCCCTAGACCTCGTCCGCCTCTGGCAGTACAGACCCTGGAACTTTGGCGACCTGCTCTGCAAACTCTTTCAGTTCGTCAGCGAGAGTTGTACCTATGCCACGGTGCTCACCATTACCGCGCTCAGCGTCGAGCGCTACTTCGCCATCTGCTTCCCGCTGCGGGCCAAGGTGGTGGTCACCAAGGGCCGGGTGAAGCTGGTCATCCTGGTCATCTGGGCCGTGGCCTTCTGTAGCGCAGGCCCCATCTTTGTGCTGGTCGGGGTAGAGCACGAGAACGGCACGGACCCGCGAGACACCAACGAGTGCCGGCCCACGGAGTTCGCAGTGCGCTCCGGGCTTCTCACGGTCATGGTGTGGGTGTCCAGCGTCTTCTTCTTTCTGCCTGTCTTCTGCCTCACTGTGCTCTACAGCCTCATCGGCAGGAAGCTGTGGCAGAGGAAGCGCGGCAAGGCGGCAGCGGGAGCCTCGCTCAGGGACCAGAACCACAAGCAAACCGTGAAAATGCTGGGTGGGTCTCAGCGCGCCCACGGGCTCTCTCCGACTCTCTCCCTTCCTTTCTCCTCTCCATCCCTTTCCCTGAGTCCCAGCCCTTCTTTCTGGTCTCCACTCCACTTTCCAACTTTCTGTTAGTATCTCTTAACTCTTCTCTCTTTTGATTTCTCAATTTCTCTGCCTCTGTGTGTACCTGTGTGTGCCCCTTCCTGTTTTTCCCCTCTCTCTCCTCCCCTCTCTCATCCCCCCTTTTTCATTTCCATTGTATCTTTCCTATCTCCCCTACTCTCTTTCCCTGTGGGTCTTATTCTCTCTGTATCTCTCTCATCATTTTGACTCTAAGTCTCTCTCTCTCTTCTTCCCTTTGTCCTTCCATCCTTCCCTTTCACTCTCTTCTTTCTCTCATTTTGTCTCCAACTCTTTCTTCCTGCCCCTTCTTTCCTTCTTTCATGGAGAAATATCACTCCCAGACTTTACTTCAACATTGAGATATTGCATAAAAGTCCATTGCTGTCTTTAAGTGTTGAAGGGGACGTTAAGCTTCCTACTTCATAGAATTTGTGGATCTATAAGTTACATTGAGAAAAGCAGTCAGGAAATCTAGAAAGTATCCAGTGGTAAATTTAACCAAAGACATAACCAATTTGGATAATTCTGTCAGAAATGATTCATTTCTCTTTCAGTCTTGTGGTTTGTCTTCTGCCTTGCATTTTTTTCAGATTATTGCATCCATTCTGCAGTTTATGCTGCTGCTACTTACATACTTTTGGGAAGAACTCAGTGGCAAATCAGGGCTAGTCTCTTGATTTCTTTTCATGATTACCTGTGTTTTCAGGTAGAATAAGCTAAGATGAGCTAGGATAGGAAGGTCTCCAACATGAGGAAAAGAGACTTTGTGGAAGTCAACAGCATGTAGGACCCCTCCAATCACCCTTCAGAGAGCAACCAATACAGTACATTGACAGGTGTGCTGAGTATTTATTGCCTGAATTCAAAAATTTTAAGCATATGTGTTCACTCCAGATGAATATAAAAAGGGGCCATATGCGGGCAAAATATTAATTCTATATATGATTTCAAAACTAGGGTCTCTATATTTTATTATTTGGACATTACAGGCAACATTTTGTACTTATTTGCACATTTAATGCTTCTTAGAAGTCACTCCAGGCTGATTTCATATTTCCAATGTTACAAGTCCTAGAATCCTGCAATTGACAGAGTTTATTCAAGGAATGTCAGAAATTTTCATTTTCCAGACCAGTGATTTTCATGATGTGACTCATGGATTGTAAACCTACTGGTCCTCCAGGGGATTCTAAGCTCTCTCCTGTGAGATTCATGTTGTTACTGTGGAGTCAAGTTACTAGTATGCAACTTAATTTTGAGGATATTTAATAATATTCTCCAATTTTATTATTTAGGCTGCTAATTATCCTCACTGATGCCTCAGTATTAGTGTTAATTTCCACTTGCCTTGACAATTCAAAGACAATCACTAAAGTGATCCAAGGAATAAAATATTATTTTGTGTTATTTTCCTATGTATGATTTTGAATTTAAAAATTTAATCTAGCAATGTTTGAGACCTTGAAAAATAGCTTAAATAGGTCAAATGAAGATTTGGAGGGATGATAATTAATGTTAGTTGGTTTTATGCCCTTTTATGCCTTATTTATGTCTGTTATAGGAGGCATAGAATCATCCATCTCAGTGTTTTTCAATCCTGGCTGCAAATTTAGTCTTCTGTGAAAGTTTAAAAAGAAAGAAAGAAGAAAGGAGAAAGAAAAAAACATAGGTACCCTAGTTTCCTTCTTAGATATTGAAATTTAGAGAATCTATGTTATATCCAGGGAAACTGCTTTAAAAATAAATGCCCCAGGAAATTCTAATATACAACCATGCTTGAGAACAATAATTTTACCTCATATATAACTATATATATAACTAACTATAAGTAACTAACTATATATATATAAACTCTATATATAACTATATAACTATATATATATATATATATATATATATATATATATATATATATGTAACATATATCTACCATGTTGTATCTAAATATTAAATGGTGGAATGTTGTGAATAAACTGTTAAATCTGTTGAGGCATCAATATACCAACTCAAATTAACCAGATAATCGTTAGACAGAAATGTTTAAAAAGCTCAGCGAAAACAGTTGAAATGTTGGTATAGGTAGAATCAATCTTGGTTAAAAGGTGGGAATGGTGTTTCTCTAAGTCAATGATCATACCATAGATAATCAAAACAAAACTATTTCTTAAAAACAGAACGTCCTTTGCTATGATATTTCTTAGCCTGATGCTCTCTCTCCCATTGTCCTTTTAGCTGTAGTGGTGTTTGCTTTCATCCTCTGCTGGCTGCCCTTCCACGTTGGTCGATACTTATTTTCTAAGTCCTTCGATCCCGGCTCCCTGGAGATTGCACAGATCAGCCAGTACTGCAACTTGGTGTCCTTTGTCCTCTTCTACCTCAGTGCTGCCATCAACCCCATCCTGTACAACATTATGTCCAAGAAATACCGGGTGGCTGTGTTCAGACTTCTGGGATTCGAACCTTTCTCTCAGAGAAAGCTCTCCACTCTGAAGGATGAAAGTTCTCGGGCCTGGACAGAATCTAGTCTTAATACATGACCAAGCACGAATCTGAGCAAAGTCATCGTTTATTATTCTAAACCAGAAGCCATACACAGCAGAACTTGGGAGGAAGGTGAAGGTTAATTTTGGAATTAGAGGCATATAGATCTGGAATCAATTGGGAGGTAAGGAAAGATAGGATTTGTAGAGTGTGAGCAGTTTGATTTGATTGCACATTCATTAGTGCTCTCATACACTATTTCTGCATATCCACTGCCTCTGATTTTGCATTCTACTGTTGGTGTTGGCAAGGGTTTTGCAATATGGAGAGAGGAAAAGTTGCAGTGTAGGTAATTAGGGCACTTCTTGGTGGGTAAATACTAAATCTGATTCACTTTTTAATAATGATTAAGTTATTTGATTAAAAGAGTGACATTAAAATAAAAATTTCAAAACAGGACTTAAAACTCAATGATTTTCCTATTGTTCTAGAACAGTGCTGACCAGATAATATAACGTAAACCATGTAAGTAATTAATATAAAAGTTATTGAGATAGTTTACTTTTTTTTTTTCATACTAAGCCTTTGAAATCCAGTGTATTTTCTTGTATCTACAGCACATCTCAATGTGGACAATATATCTTGATGAGTAGTATTTGATATATTTAGATTTCAGAATATTTACAGATGAAAAAGCAGATTTATATACCCATATTGTCCAAAAAAAGAAAAAATCCTGTTGCCATTGAGTCAACTCCCACTCATAGAGACTCCATAGGATAGAGTAGAACTATTCCATAGGGTTACCAAGACTGTAATTTGTACAGAAGCAGGCTGCCACATCTTAATCCTGCAGAGTGGCTGGTGGGTTCGAACCACCAACCTTTCGGTTAGCATCTAAGCACTTAACTACTGCACCACCAGGGATCCCTATATTGTTTAAACATACTTAACATTTTTCCAATAAGTAAAATGATGATAAGTTTTTAAGTTTAAATTTATTAACATTTTAAAATTTAGTTGCTCACTCACAATAGCCATATTTCAAGTGTTCAATAGCCAACTGTGGATAGTAGCTACCGTGTTGGACAGTGTAGCGCCAGAGTATACGCAAAAGTTATTATTTAAACTTATATAAAATACTTTAAAATATATGTGCTTTCCCTGAAATGTTTTAATAATGAAATTAGCATTGTAAAGTTCTAGAGAGAGGAGTCCTAAAAACAATATCTAAGTGTCCTACTCATCATGCTTGGCAGAAAATAGATATGAAATATAAAGTATATTTGAAAATTAAGTTAAATTTTATGTATTAATATTCAGGAAGTGAACCATGAATAAAAATTATAGATAATCATAAACTGCCTTATTTGGCTTAACAGAAATACTTAAGCCAATAATAAGGTTTTTATTTGTGAATGAAGTATCTGGGTATAATTTATAACTTACTCTGCAAAGTTTACAAGATTTAGTGAAAAAAGAAATTTTTCAAACTGGTGAAGGCATTTCCATGTGAAAAATTCAGAATTCTTTAAATGCTACTGCTTATTGATATTCAAAACTTTTCAAAATCTTCTAGCCATTTATTTCAAAATGCCTATACCTTTCCCTGTCTCCAAATTAGTTTTGTTGTTAACATCCCACCACTTAGCTGATAGATATGTTTACATGGATTTCTAGTCTCCCTCTTAGTCATAATTATGAGTGATGAGACACTTTCAACCAAATATTATACATTTTAGATATAAATCTTAAATTTTAATTTATAGTGACATTACTCTCTGGATAGTCAACCCTTCCCATATTAAATATATTATTTCAAAAATGATTTCTTTTTAATCCTGTGTACTACTAAGTTATATAAGAAGTTCCTATCTGACAGTTTTGGTTCAACTGTGGAGATAATTGAGGGAAATTACCACCAAATTACCAAATTTTCTTCACCAAGGGAAAGATTATTGAGCTGAAATAATTGACTGGCACAATCATAATTACAATTCTTTCTCTAAAGAAATATCTCTGGAATCTATCTACACTAAAACTTCACCATCAATTTTGTCTAACTGGAGAACTTTATCAAATTGAATACAGTTAATTCTTGCTACACCACATCAATAATTTTTAAAAGTACGCTGACTCATTTAAGCCCAAGGGATATTGATTAGGGAATTCAGCAATAATGTCCTAAATAGTGTTCAGCAATCTCAAAGAAATAATTCAACTTCATAGAGTCTAAGTTTTGTCTGCAAATACATCTGCCTGGAGAGGAAACAAGTTAAAAAAACTTGACCTCCATCACACAGTTGATTACTTTGGATGAATACAAACTTAACTTGTAACTAGTTGCTTAGCCTACTCAGTAGTCCTCCATCTCTCATGGGTTTATGTCTATAGGTTTAGCCTAACTCACTTCGAAGGACACAGCATAAGCCTATAGCTAGGCCTGTCATTGCTCTTCACTGGTATTGATCTGGAATTTGAGGATGTGTTTCTTTAATTTGTCCTCCTCTCATACCATTGCAGTTTTATTGTTTGTAACTTTATTTGTAGACTTATACACCATAAACTAAGACTCAGAGAAAAGAAGAACTTGTACCAAGGAAAATTGCTTCTAAAAGTCCATCACATCAGAAGCATTTATGATGTGCCTGACATGTGCTAAACTCTAGAAATTAATAAACCAAAGATTCCATCCTTAATGAGCTCATGGTCACTTGTGCGTTATGCAGCAAAGGGTAACTGATAAATAGCTTTAGGTCTGTGAAGTAAACATCTCCAGCTGACACCAGATAAAATTGTTCCCCAGCATTTCGAAGGGCTGTACTGTTGTGTTTTTGCCCCTAAATAAGTTCAAAATGGGCTGCTCCTATACAAACCAGTCAAACTTGTAGGCATAGTTAATGTGTCTCTAGTGCTAATTATACTCACAGCCCTCTTCATTAATGTAGGAAAACTAAAGGAATTGGTTTCTTTTTAAGTCTGTGTTTCCAGCTTCCTGATTATCTAGCAATGAGGTTTCTGTCACCACAGCTTACGTTCTATCACAAAATCAAGGGGTGGGGCATTTTCATTACAGGAAGAACTGTTACATGAGCAAGAACTTTTTAATCATTGATTGAAAGAAAACAGTCATTGCCCTGAGTTATTTAGAGCTGAAAATTGTGGTAATGAGATTTAGAAACATTTCCAGTGCCTGCCAGATCTTGAAAAACATTTCTTTTTTTAAATTTCTTATTATGATTCGAGTGAAATTTTACAAAGCAGATTTGTTTTACATTCAAAAGTTCAAACATATTTTGTTTTGTGACACTGATCACAGGCCCCACAATGTAACATCTCTCTTCCCACTTCCTCCCTGTGGTTACCACTTGCCTGTGTCCTTTTTGCCTATTCATTCCTGTCTCCTTACCTTTCTTTCGGTATAAATGCCTCCTTTCTGATTTCCCAAGGTTGATTGTTCCAAGAAGTACATCTTCCTGGTGTAGTAGTTCAGCTTGTAGGCCTGTCTATTATTTGGCTGAGAGCTAACCCATGGGATTCTTTAGAACCACCTTTTTGTTGCCATGAGGGTGGCTGAGGTACAATTTGACCTGAAATTTCAGTTTTTTCACTCTAATGCTTTTGTTAAGAACCTGATGTTATTGCAAAATATTTTTAATTTTTAGTTCAACATTGAGCTTTTAGTTATAATTATTTTTTGATGTTTTCATATATCCACAAACTTGAATTTAACATTAAAAAAGAAACGTAACTGTGAGTTCTTTTTTTGTAAGACTGGTGCCTGAAACCACTTTTTTATCTTTTAAAAAGTAGTGTGTTCATGTTTAAAATGTGAAATACATCTTTACATATATCAAGATTTCTTGAATAGATCTTTCTGCTTGAAGAAGCACTGTATCTGGTATAAATAATGTCATTACAATATCAAGTATAAACTATGTCTAACATTGCTGATCATTATTTCATGTTTCTCCTATGATTTCTTTGTAATTTAAATTGCAAGACTAGCCAGGATAAATGCAATTATAACCTAGCTAGATAATTAGTGACCAATATTAATTCAATGAATTGATAACACAAATATTTTTTAACCAGAGAATGAACCACAAGTCATTATCAGCAGAAAACAATATGCTGGTGACACCTAACTACATTAACCTCATGCCACTTTTTTCACATGATGTGAATTCGGTCATGTTAAATTTTGGAAAATGTTTAGATGAGGCTTGTTTTTCCTTTTGAACTCAAACTCTTACAGGATAATGAAGGCTAGTTGTTGGATTGGCAGAAGTATCATCACCTGAAAACAAAGCAAAGCTATTGTGTCATACATCTCTCCCAATTGCCTAGGTATTTGCTGGAATTCCAATGAATATTTTAAGCTGTGAACCTTTGTTCAAGGGATTTTGCTTAGGTGACTACCAACTACCCTCAAAACTGCCAAACCAATAAAGCCCTCACAAAGCATGCCTCAATAAATGCTCAGAAAGATATGCCAAAATGTTTACAAATGTTCTTTCTTTCCAGAAGAACTCCCTGCCTCCCCACCCCATAGAAGGCATTGGAGAAAAATAGTTTGTGGTTTTATCATCTGTAGTCCAAACATTTCTCTGCCTCAAACAATAAAAATGCTTAAGTCTCTTTATTTTTCACTCATAACACCATAGGTTTACGATACTAGAGAGCGTTCACTCATATAAGTACATCCAAACTACAGTCTCCTGTTACACTGATAGGAAAATGTATTCTTGGTCTATATGGGATTCACTGTTTTGTCAATTTGTGTTATAATGTGCATAAATGTCACTGATAATGTTTTGGTCCACAATTCTTTGCTTTAAGATTTTTGTGAATGTTAAAGAAGAGCTCACTGTAGCTATCTTGTATCTGTCTTATGAAATCAGGCATTAGTTTTCCTCCCTTTGGGTATTCTTGACCAAATAATTGTTTAATAAATATCTTTTAAAAGCATGTAGCTAATATATCCACTTACTGTCATGAAGTTTTGTGTCTGTGATATTTTACTTCTAATTCTGTCCTCAATTGAGTTCTATTTTGTCCTTTTGATTTCTAAAATATATATT